CAACTACCTCCCTGGGCAGCCCATTCCAGAGCCTGACAACCCTTTCGGTGAAGAAGTTTTTCCTAATGTCTAGCTTAAACCTGCCCTGGTGCAACTTCAAACCGTTCCCCCTCATCCTATTGTCCATTACCAGGGAGAAGAGGACAATCCCCACCTCACTACAGCCTCCTTTCAGGCAGTTGTAGAGGGCGATCAGGTCTCCCCTCAGCTGCCTTTTCTCCAGGATGAACAACCCCAGTTCCCTCAGCCACTCCTTGTGCTCCAGACCCCTCACCATCTTCCTTGCCCTTCTTTGGACATGTTCCAGCAATACAACATCTTCCCTGTAGCAAGGGGCCCAAAACTGAACACAGGATTCAAGGTGCAGCCTCACCAGCACCGAATGCAGGGGCACGATCACTTCCCTACTCCTGCTGGTCACACTATTTCTGATACAAGCCAGGATGCCATTGGCCTTCTTGGCCACCTGGGCACACTGCTGGCTCATATTCAGTCAGCTGTCAACCAGTACCTCCAGGTCTTTTTCCGCCAGGCAGCTTTCCAGCCACTCTTCCCAAGCCTGTAGCATTGCATGGGGTTGTTGTGACCGGCACTTGGCCTTATTGAACCTCATACAGTTGGCCTTAGCCCATTGATGCAGTCTGTCCAGGTCGCTCTGCAGAGCCCTCCTCCCCTCGAGCAGGTCAACACTGCCACCCAGTTTGGTGTCGTCTGCAAATTTATTGAGGGCACACTCAATCCCCTCATCCAGGTCATTGATAAAGATATTAAACAAGACTGGCCCTAGGACTGAGCCCTGGGGGACACCGCTTGTGACTGGCCACCAACTGGATTTAGCTCCATTCGCCACGACTCTCTGGGCTTGGCCATCCAGACAGGTTTTTAACCCAGCAAAGATTAGACCCATCTAGGCCATGAACCTCCAGCTTCTCCAGGAGAATGCTATGGGAGACTGTGTCGAAGGTTTTGCTGAAGTCCAGGTAGACAACATCCACAGCCTTTCCCTCATCTACCAGGTGGGTCACCTGGTCACAGAAGGAAATCAGGTTGGTTAGGCAAGACCTGCCTTTCATGAACCCACGTTGGCTGGGCCTGATCCCTTGATTGTCCTCCATGTGCCTGGTGAGCACACTCAAGATGAACCGTTCCATAATCTTCCCCGGTACCGAGATCAGGCTGACAGGTCTGTAGTTCCTTGGATCCTCCTTCTGGCCCTTCCTGAAGATAGTATAACTCAGTTCATGTCTGGCAACACCTTTGTTGACATATTTCACAAGAACAATTGCACAAGAACTTCTAGAAAATACCTATTACACCTCTGCTCTGTGACAAATGGACCTTTGTGTAGAAAAATTTCATTGCATTCCATTGCCCATTTTTATTACTATTCCATATTGCAAACTTGATGAGTGATTTTTGCTGTCTAGAAAGAAACACAGTCAGCAATTACTTCAGGAGGAAAGGAAAGTGTCTGACTTCCAATATGAAATAAAGTGAACCAAAACCAATTTTTGACCTTACCAAAATGTTCTGTTTCTTTCAGGTCAAACATTTACCTCTGATAAAGGCAGCAACGTTATGTTCTGACATTATTTCATTCTGAAGTGACTATGCTATCGTGAAAGGTAAATATTCCAGTGATTATTCACTGCACCTTTGGGTGAAGCCCATGATTTCCTGAAAAATGTTTCAATTCTGTAGAAGCAGCATTCTCTGATGGAAAACTGTTCTGTAGGGGAATTTCCAGACAGCTTAATCCAGTAAATGCATGCAGTAAATATTTTACTATTCTTTCCCTTTAATTTGGCTCCTAGGTGGGGAATACAAAGCTAAAACTGCTCCATCACTTTCTTGGTTGTTCCAGCGAATGCAGCTGCTGCTGGAATTTCACTGCTCAGGAATGAAAGGCTTAGGCAGCCGTGGAGGGGACTCCTGGCTGAGTGACGATCTTCCTCTGAATGAGCTAGTAAAACATGCTCATTATTTCAGTGTAGCCTTGCTCCCTTAATTAGAACACATTTATATTTATGTACATGCTCACTAGAGTTACCAAATTGCCGACTGTAACAATGCATTGTTTTTAATCTTCATAGACTGCTTATTTTTTGTTTTTATTTGAAGTGCCTCATATATTTCATTTGTGAGAAGCTTTATACCCTAAGCTACTTAAAGAAAAGGCTAATTAGCCATAGTCCTAATGCTGCTTTTGATGAAACCTCATTCAAACAGCTTTATTTATACTGCAATTTTGCATATTGGTTCCTACTTTTGTGTTTTGTTTTTTTTTCCATAGTCTTTCATATTTCTTTGTTATAGAAGTTTATGATTATAAGGCTAATTGTATAGTTGCCACCTATCGGAGGTCTCTGAATATATGCTTTTTAGCTGTTGAGCTTGGGATCTGACTTTGTTCAGAGGGGAAATCCACAGTAATTTCCAGAACCCAACTCTGTTGTTGTTTATTGATGGTATATTTCATCAGCTTAATGTTCACTTTTGGAAACCAATGTCGTTGACCAAAGCTCTATTTCAAACCAAGGTTTAAGTAGCAGTCTTTTCTTGTATTTCATAATGTTCACTTTTTAGTTTGCAATTTTTTTTTCTTGCTTATGTCTGTTGCAAGCACAATTACTAGGCAGGACCAGAGTGGCCTGGGGAACTGGGCAAGCAATGTGCTGCGTCTGGCAGCAGGGCAGACTCTGCCATATCCAGCCTGAAGAAGATAGATGTGGCAGCCAGAAAGCTGGAAACTAGCAGGAGATGAAGCAAAATGCTGCAGGCAGATTGTGTTGATTGTGGGTCACCAAGGAGTTTGTTATCTTGTGTTAGAGGAGAAAATGTTAGACGAGAGCCTGCTGTATGGAGAAAACTCTGTAACTGAACCTTGGGCTTTATGTCATCACCAGAGGAAGAGTAAGATAATCTGGAAAATGGAGCTGGATAGTGATAAATCTGCTGTGAGGATCCCAAGAAGAAAAGGGCAGACTGAATACTTGCTAAGCTCAATGATGCAGAGTGACACATAGTAAAAAGGAAGTAGAAGGAGGCATTGTAGGCCTCCTTGTAATATATACTTGTAATAAAAGATTTGCATATATAATGGTTGGGATGAGAAATTAATAAAATGCATATTCTTGTGCATTATATACTACAAGTACAGATACCAGTCAGATTTTGTCATGCTAGTGCTGTAAGAATTCTATTTTTTTTTTAATAGAAGAAAATTGCCCTATTAAAATTCAGATTTATTTAATCTTCAGTATTGTTTTCATGCACTAATGTCTCAGTTCTTAAGGGGGAATGGAAATAATTAACTTTATCAGGCAACACCTCACCTCTTCTAGCGAAGGAAAAAACTTAGAAAAGGACTTATATTAGAAATTTTTATTGTGTTTTCAAACCAAAATACATTTCTAACTAGCAACTTGAAGATCCCAATGGGACCTCAAAAGATCTGTCATGCTCAGAACGAGCCAAATTTCAGGACAGGTCCTTGAACTCTAATTTATTTAATTTCATCTACTTCCTTAGGAATTCACCTTACATTTTGCAGTTAGAAGATGAGGACTGGCTTTCTCACCATCAGAAGTTTTTCCTCAGCAAATTCTCCCTGTAGGTGAGAACTTCCTGTACTGCTGTCTCTTGAAATATGCTTGACCTTATTCTCTAAATTCAAAAAAGAGGATATTGCAACTCTCATTATGAAGCTATTCATAGCTACTAGATTCCCTGAAGCCGGCAGATGGAGAAATGGGTCTACTGGGTAGCTGGAGCATGAGTATTCCCACCTCCCTGTGCTGCATTGTGTGGGTGCTTGCTGCTCTCGTAGAACAGACCGCGTGGGTAGAAAGGGGCAGTGGTCCACAGCAAGGAGCTTGCCAGAAGTCCTCCAAAGGCTAAAGGGATTACAGGTAGCTGGGAACTCCGGGGAAAGAGCAGTTCCCTGCCTTAATAATTGAACACCACAAAAAGATAACAGCAGGTCCTGGTATTCGAAATACAGAATAGACGGTTCAGCTGTTGGCATCTAGGAGTAAAGGGTAGCCTAATATATAGGCCTGTATGACAACGGAAATCTGAGGTAACTACAAAGCGAATGCTGTAGGACAGTATGTCATACGTGTACTGTGTAGCTCGCTGAGAGGTATTTCGTAATACAGATTTTTGGAAGGAAGATTTAGTTCCTAATATAATATTTAAACAACATCAGGTCTTCTGTGAAGCTTTTTCCATAGTAATTGAAGGAAGAAGACGTATCAGCTGGTATAATGATATAAATTAAGTATAAATGATATCCATTAAAAGTCTGCATTTGAAATATAACTTACTCAAAAGGCAGATGAAAACTTAGTTTTGTGCACATCATGTTTGCCTACTACATGTGCAGATCTTGTTCTATTCATTTTGATGTAATCTATTGTTATAAGTACTATTTGAGCATGTTTATTGGTTTCATAACTACTTGATTTTAACAACTGAAATTATATAATAGGAGTGCAGTTAACACGATTTCAGAGTCTGGATACACTCATTTACTCATGACACTCTTGTTACAGTCAAAACGTATTTTATGAACTCCTTTTGTATAAACAATGTTATTATGGTGAGTCCTGAATTCTTTTAAGGGCTTTTTAAGCTACTGAATGTTTGCATTTTACTTTTTTTTTTTTTAAATTTAAAAAACTGAGAGGTGGAAAGACATTTTTGTTGGGCTATTGCATGTTTCAAAATCCATGATAAAAAGAAAGGATGTTTTCAGGCAGATTAAGAGCATTTATGTTACTGCTGTTGAGTGCACATTCTGAGTAATCTGGCACATAAGTAAAATCCATTCAGCTCACAGCAAACCTGGCAGTCACATGATGTCCATTTCCTAGTCTGCATACAAAATGCTGCTCATTAGATGCTCCAGCATGGCTCACGGTGAAAAGGAGCTGCTGTCGGAGAACCAGGAATGGGCTGCCTGCAGCACATTATTTGCTCAGTTTATAGTTGTCGTGGTTTAACCCCAGCTGGCAACTTAGCATCACACAGCTGCTCGCTTGCTCCGGACAGGAGAGAGAATTGAAAGAGTAAAAGTGGGAAAACTCGTAGGTTGGGATAAAAACAGTTTAACAGGTAAAGCAAAAGCTGCACACTCAAGCAAAGCAAAGCAAGGAATTCATTCCCTGCTTCCCACCAGCAGGCAGGTGTTCAGCCATCTCCAGGACAGCAGGGCTCCATCACACGTAACGGTGACTTGGGAAGACAAACGTCATCACTCCAAACATCCCCCACTTCCTTCTTCTTTCCCCAGGTTTCTATGCTGAGCATGACATCATATGGTCTGGAAGATCCCTTGGGTCAGTTGGGGTCAGCTGTCCTGGCTGTGCCCCCTCCCAGTTTCTTGTGGCTCCCCCAGCCCACTCGCTGGTGGAGTGAGATGAGAGGCAGAAAAAGCCTTGGCTCTGTGTAAGCGCTGCTCAGCAATAATGAAAACATCTCTCTATTATCAACACTGTTTCCAGCACAAATCGAAAACATAGCCCCATACCAGCTACTATAAAAACAAAACCCAACACAATAATATATAGACATGTGACAGCTGAGAACATTTGTTGCATAAATACTTTCAGTCACCTGGTGACTCAAGGTATTCACATCCCAAAGAAATCTTTCCAGAAGACTATGCCCATGCAATAAGAAAACTTTTTGTCATTAAGTTTATGTCAAACTACCAGTATTCAATAGTTTCTGACAGATGCCAAATGCCTTATAAGGAAAAAAGTTAGCGGGGTCGTGCAGCTGTATGTACTCAGTTGCTGGCTGGGGTTAAACCATGACACAAGGTCATACCAGGTATGTGTAAGCATCTTAACAAATCCATGGCTTGCTTTAGTTGAAACTTGGGAAGACAGGTTTGGGGAAAAACACAGACTAAGTGGGTATGGTAGCTCAACATTTTCCCTGTCTCAACCCTGGACTGAAGTGAAGGACTTGGACCCATTAATGGGCAAGCAAATAAAAGGATTTGCATATCTTTTATAACAAGCTAGAGATTCTAGTACTCTTCTGTAATACTATTTATGAACATTACAATCCATGTTATCTAGGGAAAGTAAAAATATGAAGCTATATGTACAAGATTTTCAGTATTACATAGTAATAATCTTCAAACGGGAAACACAGTATACACACAACCACCTTTGTATTTACTTGGCTCATTAACATTAGTGGCGTTCACAAACATTAGTGACCACATCAGCCAAATGAATTTAATCAGCATTTGCAAACAGATACTTCTCAATTTAGAAGATTTAGCTAGACAGTGGTAAAATTATAGGATTCAAATTTGCTGTGATTATTTTAAGTGCTGCAATTAGAATTCAGTGCTTCAGCTAACAGTATTTTAAGCTGTGTGTTGAGATTCAGCTAGTCAGAAGTTATACATGCAGAGACGAGCAAACATATATTGGCCAGCCCGAATGGGGGCTAAGATTTGGGTGGAAAGCTCTACAGCTGCTTGAACAATTGTTTCCTTACAGGCACTTGAAATCTCAGAACATATGAAAGCACAGGTTACTGTGAACTATGTGTTTATGGGAACATAAGGTACTAAGAACATGAAGGAATTTATGGGTAGCAGCAGCAGTATGCCAGTACCTAATCTGAGGTACCTTTCCAAGTAGTGAAAATCACAGGCTGAAGGTTTTTCTTGTAGTAGTAAACATTAAATTACCTGAAATGAAAGCTAAACTGTAGTTTCTTTTTTAAAGATATTCTTTGTTTTTTATTAATAGCACACTTGGGGGACCTCAGCGCATAAACCAAACACCCACCAACAGGCATCACGTATCGCTTAGACCATGCCCCTTTCAGTGTTAGGGCATATTTATACAGCCCAGTAGAAGATAACATGTGCTGGGATCTGAGCTCATTCACTGCTGGAAGCCATGGTTGTCACTGTGTAGTGCTCACCCTGGAATACCAGCTTGAAGGTACCTGTCATCAATGCAAGTGGTGGCATGCCCCCAGTAAGCAGCAAAGGGATTCATGTCTGTGATTTCTTCCCTCAAGTTAGGGCATAAGCCTGCTTTCAAAGCAGCCAAATAGTTGGAATATTTGCTTGGGATGTAGGAAATAAAATTAAACTAGTCAGGGAGTCTATTGCAGCTCAACAAGCAGGCTTATATGACAGAAAAGAAAGCTGACTTTCAGCTACAGCATTTGGCCAAGCTGGAGAAGACCAAGACTGTAATTTGAGACCTTTCTAAGTATCATGGGCTGAAAGAGCATGCCTGGAAGCATGTCTCAGACAGGATGAGGCTTAAAATGTATTTGCCCAGCTCTCAATGATAAAGTGGTCCTCACACATGCTGGAGAAACAAAGCAGCACGGACAACTGGCGTGCTCGAGACCTACCTGAAAGCACTGCTAACCTAGACCTGAACCCTATCTGCCCTGGTTTAAAGATTTAAAGGTTTACCAGAGAATGAAACAGAGAGGCACCAATGAATTTTTAATAACTTTGCATCTTTGTAACACATTTGGGGCAGGAGGCCAGAAGGAGGAAGTAACTCAGGTAACAACTGCTAATTGGCTTTAGATATGGAGAAAGTCAAAGAGATTGGCCTTGGGCTAGGTGACTATTGGTGGTTTGTGTGGATCCTCTTGGTTAGAAAGCAAGAAACAGTGCAAATAATAACAAGGCTCCCCCAGGGGGAATGTTTCTAGGGATGTTCAGCCCTTTGCAGGAGGCAGAGGCCGAGGTGAAGGTGGTGCATGGAAGCCATCTGCCAGCCCGGACTCAGACAAGGTGACCGGTGGGTGCCTGTCCCACACTGTGCACCTGTGGTGATGTCACGAGCCGGCCATGGGACAGGGGAGGACGTGTCTGGTGTGAGCATGCTTGCACAGACCCTGCAAGGGCAGCAGAACAGAAACCATGTCCCACCCACTGTACCCCTCCAAATTTGCAAAGCAGCCTCAGGTTTTCTCTCCGAGCAGTGTGGTTCTGCTCCCACGGCTGCCCCACCTTGGGATGCTGAGAGGCAGTCCCCTGGGTGTGTAGCACCATTCTGCAGCTGCTAGCAAAGATGAAATAGTTATTTTTCTAAAAGAAAAATGATCTTTCTATTATGTTAGTTTTAGGGGAAGCAAACACTTATAATTCCAGATATATTTTTAAGGTTCAGCAAGCCTTTTAAAAAGATAGGCATTTGCTATTTTAGCGTGCTATTTTAGATACATAGATCATAAAGTAAACTGATTACAAAAGCCGAAGTTTTATTAGTCCTTCTTTTCTTTCCTTTACTTGTAGCTTTGGCCTAGCTTTAGCTTTTCCATTTGCTTTTCCTTGCCCTTTTATTTCCCCTTTGCCCACAGGAGAGTGCTAATTTAAAACCAAGCCAAACCAAACCAAACCAACAGTTTTCTTATACAGCAGACTGTTACACATGTAAGTTTTGTTCTTCCCCCGTCTCTCCAAATCTCATTGCTTGTAATTTTTGTCATATGACCATAAAGCTTCCTGTATTATACAGAAATAAAATAAATAACGACTGTAATAATTTGAAATGGTAAGATAGATAACATATTAAAATTGGGATATCTTTTATCTTTTGACTGAAGAACATTTTAAATTCAGTATGCTCTAGAGATGCAAAAAGTTTTGAGTATGCTTGAAATGCTGTGTAACATCTTCTGTTCAGTTTCTATTTATTATCTCTACTTATATGTTTTGTACAGGGGTGGTTTTTTTGACATTTCATTTTCTTGATGGGTCTAACAAGGGCAGAACACTCTTTTATAGGGAATATTTGGTTGAATTTGCTTTTCCCTGTCTCCTATGTTTGGTCCTAAAAGTATACTAAAAATGAAAGAGAGATTTTGGGAAGACTTTCACCTCTGAATTCCAGATTGCCCTCTTCTTTCAGAGACGAAAAGTAATTCACTATAGGTTTGCTGTCCAGAAGCATGTAAAAATAAAAGACAGGAGGATAAGTGGAAAGAGAGTAGTGAATGAATATCATGTGCTTAGTGATATGTCACATTTTATATCACATGATAGTGGAATTGACTTTTTAACTCCACCATAACTCTTGCTATATTTACAAACAGGAAATTAAGCTAAAATACTGAGACCAAGTAAGAACATACTGGGGAACATTAGAACATTTCATGAGAACTAACAAACCTCTACTTTTTTTGCAGAGGTTGGGCAGAGCTGGTAATTGGAGATACTTTTCAAATTATTTAGTTTATGACTTCTGTGTGATTATATCATGGTGTAGTGAGCACTGGCAGTACAGTCACACATCTCACTTTTGTGCCATTTATCTTTTAAAATTACTTTGATGATCACTAGGGCTGGTGTTTCATACTTTGCAGACTGAGAATGGTTGTCTAAGAACTATGAGCACTAGCACATGACTTGGAAGACCCATATGTAGTTCACAGTCCAAGTGTGGCCACTGGCAACTTGTTTAGCATCAATCTTTCATTTCATTCATAGGGAGAGACTAGTGCTTTACAACAATTCAGCTATGAAGGAAGTTAAGCTTGTTAAAGCAATAGGCTATGTAAGGTTTTCATAAGAGACAATTCTGTACATGCAGACACATGCATGCATCCTTTTGATCTGTAAATACATGTATTTGCACTTTATTTACAATGCTTAGCCTAAAAATCACTGTTAAATGGATAACTATGTAGTATTACTATACTGTCTGTGGATGAAGACAAAGTTCACTGTTCTTTAGCAGAAAATATTTGTTTTCCTTTCTGCAGGATTCCAGTCAGAAACATGATTATTGCTGCAGGACCATTTTCAAATTGTTGTTGTTACATCAGTGTCCAAGGTAACTTAATTTTCCAGGTTTCCTTTCTTCCTGTTTAAGGTGGAAGGCACGGTACATAACTCAATACTTGACTTATCATTGTGGAACATGGGCTTGAGCAACCTTGAGAAGATTGTGTTCTGTTTGAGGTTGAAATATTGTGGTATTGTAAAACATTACCTTGTGCAGTGACAATAAAGTACGCATATTCTGACGTGTGGTGTTCTGCTGGATGCTTAAAATTGTTTATAGACTTGAATTTAAATATTAAGGACTTACTATTTCTATTTATTGTGCCCATTGAGCAGACATACTGGTACACATCAGCTTTGAGTAGCATACTGTCTTGCTTTTCTGCCCAGGTACATTTTAAAGTCTAAGCAAACAAAATAGTGTATCTGTAGGGTTTGTGCACCAGCAGTATTCTGTATCAGGCATACCTGCAAGCTCTAGCCATTGTTACATTTTATAGTCGTAAGTTTTACATCAGCATAAATGCATTAAGTTTCCTTCAGCTGAAACAAAGAGGCTGAACACATAGGTGAAGTACCAGGCATTTAGACACTTTAACATTTTAGTGTCAGTGTCAGTGTCTTCAGACACTGTACTGAGAGAATGTATAATTTCTACTGTTAACCACATCTTATGTAGCAAAGGTAAGATAATCAATATATTGATCTGAAAACATTCAAATAAGTCAAAGCCTTACTAATTTGCACTTTGTTAATCCAGGTATCCTGTAACTTGTGCACAAACCCCAATAGCCTCTCTTCACATCTCTGCAGAGATTTAAAGGAAGAAATCTGTATTTTAAGCTCACTGCACGTCATTGTTATCAGCAATATCTCACATAACATTCGTTAATACAGTTTGAGGTTTTATTACAACCAGCGAAACTAAGACTTACTTGCCCCTCACAGATCATACAGGTAAAATACACTGTTGTTGTTTGTCTTACTGCATTCTGTCATCCACAAAACTGAGCAATTTTCAGTAGTTTTCCCTGTCTCAACAGTAATGAATGAGAATGTAGGTAGCATCTCACTGGTGCTGTGCTCAATGCTGGAGAAGTAAGGTTTGTCAGGGAGCCAGTTATGGCAAATTTCAGGAGGTATTTAGAGCAGCCAGAGTCCTCCTGCTGACAAATCAAGACTAGAGTCTGAATTTGTTGTTTGGGGTTATAGCTTCAGTTTAATAACTCCCCCAGCACACCCTTTGGAACCATAAATAACTTTGACAACATACTGCCTTCAAACCTTGTTGCCATTTTGTTCCATTTGCCCATTTCAGTCCCTTTGACATTTACTTTTCTGAAGAGCCATTCCTTTCTTAAATAAGAATGGAAATTAAAACAAAAAAGACAACTCTGCTTTCTCATTAACTACAGGTGGTCTGTGCAGGCACATGGGAGTCAATGCTGATTACAAATAACTTTTCCTCACAGGGAATTTCTATAATAGAAGGCAGACACTTAGCATTGGATAATGCAGTGCAAAGAAGAGCAGATGAAAGGAAATGTAATACAATAAATTTTCCTGAACAGGGGATCTGAGTGTGCCTAATACCTGAAATACAGGCCCTTAACTCATTCTGAATCTCTGGATATGAATTCTGTTGTTTTGTGGGTAGGAGTTTTTGATATCATCAGGCTTTGCAGATGGTGAACATGATGTTGGAATGTTATTTGTTAGATGTTAGATGTTGTTTGCTCTTTAGATAGTAAAGCCGATGATTGTACAGATGGAAAAAATTTTGTAAGGGAGCTCTCATATATACTTTGACCAATGTTTTTTAACGGAATAAAAAAAATAAAATTGTTTTGCTTATGCAGATCTTAAAGTAGGGACTACCGTTCAACATTTTATTTTACTTCTGCCACTGAAATATGCAATTTTGTTCTTCAGTCATGGTTAAAGTGCACAATTTATGTAGTCTGAGCATTCTACTTCCTATTAGGTTAAGTATGACTCATTGGAAACATCTAAATCCTGAATGGTGATTCACCACAGGGGTGAATTACTGCTCTTGGATACATGGTGGCCAAGGTAGGTCGTCAAAGAAAAGGACAAAAAGAGAACAAACAAATGACTCACAGCATTGCCAGAAAGACAGAAAAATCATTCAGAATTTCGTGATCAGTTTAACAATCATTCTCATGAGAAAACAAAACAGAGCTTTGGTGTCATGCTGCCTTTTCCTTGCTTCTATTGTAGTAATGTCTACAGGCTTAAGTCCCCATTGAATGACCATATAGCTAGACAAAATTGCTACTCCAAGGAACTTAGATCTAATTTTAAGTAAGCTGTAGCAAGTGAATGAAATTTATAGTCGCAGAGGATGAGTAGAACATGAAGCCAACAAAATAATATAAAAAACTATATGCACCAAAACAAATCAATGAGAAGAATTTTTCATACAGCTAAATAAAAATGAACCTGCCCCAGCTACCTCCATAAGTAACAATGGATTTTTACAGACATTACAGCAGAACAGAGTTTCATTTTGGCACTGGGAGAAGGAACTGTTAACCTGGGACATCACTTTGCAGAAATGTTCCTGGTTGTTGGGAGTGTGCCATCAGGCTGAGAAGTGCTTTTGAGATCATCCTAGTAACAGCCTGTGAAAGCTGCTGTTACAGGGGCAGCATAAGTGACAGTGCCTGATCTGACACCATTTTAAGGAGAAATATATCAGATGAAGCAGAGCTGGAGGTGTCCCATAGGTGAGGAGAGAAATCAGAATCAGCTGCAGCTGTGAGAAAGGGAAGCTTATGGGGTATAGTGATGGGTTTAAAAAAAAAAAAAAAAAAAAGAAAGTGGGTGATCTTGGCAACTGAAATGTTGCTATCAACAAAAACCTTGCAAGAATAGCTTATGTATGCGACATGTATATCCATACGCTTGTATTTTTTGGAGTTTTTTCCTTGGATGGAGTTTACAGTAGGACTAGTAATATCTCTGCTAGATTTCTCTAGAAAAAAAAATGTGGAAAGCTTTTAATCCCAGTTTTATGCTGTTTATGATAAACCATTAATTGCTCCCTGCATTAAACAGTTATATCACCTTAACTTTGTGTTCCCAAAAGATGTCTAAGTATTTAAACTAGTTTGGACTGATGAAACTATTGCTACAAGTCAGCCTTGTCTCCAAAGGTTATGGTGAAAGATAACTATCTTAGCTTTGCAAATACAAATTATGTCAATCCTGCTCTTAGGCAAAAGGCAGGTCTTCTCCTCTGTCTGTAAATACCTGAATTACTACAGAACAGTGAGTGAATGTCTACATAATAGCCCTCAGCCTCCACAAATGGCTATGGAGATGCCTGCCATATTTTTCAGAACTTATGTCTAGCACTTGATCTCTGCTCTGCTGGAAAAATGGTATCAACAGAAGTGTCTGAATGTGGGTGTTGACCCAATATTTGCAGACGACCAAAGCACTCTATACAGTGCTTTGATAATGTAAAAACGACTCAGGTCCTGAACTGAAGGTTACTCTGGTCTTCCTTCACAGGTGAAGTAAATATTAATGAAGCAAATAGCCATGGCCTTTCTGTTTCTTACTAACACACAGCAAAATTGCTCATAAATTGCATCACACTGCCTGTATCCATTATTGTCTCAGTGTGTGAAAACATTTGCTGAGTTCATAAGCAACGTTACAAACTGACCTTCCTAAGAGCTTGTTCTTTCATAACTCTGTGTGTGAGTGTGTGTATGATTGTTTTGACTTCTAAATGATCATCAGGAATAGTTATAAGTTTTAATATAGCCACAAAAGCAGAACTCGTACATTCACTCACTGTGTCAGCTGTCCCTCGGTGAGTTTAATGAATGAAAAGATATGTGTTGCTGATTCCAAAACCCCAACTGAAATGCAAATTTGCGTAGACATAGATAACATAGATGCACCTTGTTTTCATGTATGGAATGGGAATAATTTTCCTGCTTAGGTATCATTATGTTGGTACAGCTATTTAGTATAGGAATTCATAAATCAAACAAAGCTTTGGGTAAAGGCACTGTTCATACCTTACAGACCCTATCCTGATAGCCTTTATATGGTTAAGCTAATGCCTGCTGTGAGTGTGAAGGAAAGGATCAAATCTGAGTCGGGAAACTGGGCCAATCAGCCTTTGTAGTAGTGCAGCTAAAAGTTCTATGCAAATGTGGTGTCATACAATTAGCAATTTAGTTGCTAATTGCCAAATCAGTTATGATTATTGGTTAGTGCAATCCACATACTTTTTAGCATAAAACATTCTAATATATGTTTCTTTCTATAAACACATGGGGTATTCTTTTGAGAAAATGAACAGCTTTCAAAACAGCAGTAAATAATCATGTTTTATTTAAAGCTATTGACAGTACTGTTTAATTGTGTTTAAGCATGCTGGGATTTTTTACTGCTTACAGTATAAAAATGGTTACTGAAGGCTTTTCAAAGATGATCCTCTAAGTAAAGATTTCTAAGAATTCATTCAGATATAGAAAGAAGGGAGAATTTATAATGGATTATTAAATTAATCAAGAATACCTTTTCTTAGTGAATGCAAAAAGTAGATATCCCAACTTTTTTTTTGTCTTGTTGCTGTGAATTTGTTCATGAAGACAGGTAGTCTGAATGATTTCAAAATAAGGTTAACCAGCATGCCAGTCAGTACAATGATTAAATGTAACAGGAAATCTCAGATATCATTATGCCTTTTGTGTGATCAGGTTTTCAGCATCAGTTGAACAAATTGGGGCAGAGTCTTTTGGTTTAGGGGTAGAAATGCTGTATCAAAATGGGGCACCTGAGTAGAATGTCTCTGCAATTGCAAGAGATGCAGGTTTGAATGTACTATGCTGGGAAGAGTTTATTTTTAGGCTAAAATGTTCTTGGCTTCCTACGCACATTGACGAGTGTAGTAAGGAAGCTCAAAGAAGTTTTATGTTGTGGTTAGAGTTTGCCAGAACTATGTGCACTAGCTGAGGATGCTGCTATGGCCATAGAAGCGCATGCCCTTGTCATTTGTGTTGGAGCAGGCTCTCACCACAAGGCAGCTGGTAAGAATCAGAGGTGTTGCCTCTGACCTCCTACAGAGATGTTTTTCTAGTTTCTTTACAGTGTGGATGCCTTCTTTTGACTTGGCATTTGCTGTTGGGAGCTCCTTGCAACTGTCATCTATTTGAGGTAGCTGAATTTTTGTGGTCTTTTTTTTTTTTTTTTTTTTTTTTTTTTAAATAAGGAGTGTAGGTTGCTTTGGTGTGGTAATAAAACACAGCAGTAGAATTTCAATAATTTCTCCATGAGATCAAATAATAATCACCACAAAAAACAAAGGTGAAAGTTGTTGTTTCTAAAATTCTCTGTTCCCTAAAAAAATTGAAATTATCTTGGTTTTTTAAATTTACTTAAGCAAACTTATTTTTAATTGTACATAACTGCTTTTACACAGTAGTTTACTAAGTATGTAACAAATGTGTTTTATCATCTTATTTGTATGTTATAACGTGCATTAGCTAAACCATACAGTGAAAACTAGAGACTGTAGAAAAGGCCAGAAGAATTATCATTATAGTTATTTGATATTTGCCTTTTGCAAAATGAGTCATGGAATAGCTAATAGAAATATAAAAACCTGGAAGAAATGAAGCTGTAGTTATGCCACATAGCATATGCCATCTGTTTACAATGTGTTGCTAAACATCAGAATGGGCAGAGGGACGCAATCAGTGCTGTATCTTTGCACAGGGGTCAGCCATCGATGTTATCGTGGCAGCCAAGAAGTGCGATGACCTGCTGAGATGGGCTGGTTGGGAGGACTGTGCAGTTCTGTATGAGGACTGCGATGTCAGTGCTCCTGAGGGCAGAATGAAGATTTGACTGCAGGGTCTCCAGGTATGAATGTCAAATGAGTTGGTTAGAGATATGGAAATAGATTAAATTGCTCATCCACGAAACTCAGTATGTCCTATGTTTTGATTTTCAAAACAAGCAGCAGTCCCTTTTCCTGTGGCTCAGCCATAGCCAAATGTGTCTGCATCATCCTGAAAGTATCATATCCAGATAGGGTTTGAAGTCTGACCTAATTTCCCTGACTCCATACTGTAGGTGGATAGCTATGGGGATGCCTGCTGTCTGGTGTTATCCTAGGTGTAGCCTAATCCCTGAGAAGTCCCCTCCCTTACAGTAGTACCTTTGCAATGTATATTTATACAGAAATGTTTACACTTATGCACACATACATGAAAGGAGAAAAGCACATTTGTATGCATATGCTGAAGTGGTTGTGCCATAAGCTTGTGCACAATCGACTAGACAGGAACTGTGTGACTTACATGTTTGCAAACAACTAGAGTCCATTTGAAATACTGTTTGCATTAGAACACATGCAGAAAATGAGTCTCAATGAAAAGATCTGTACAGCTCCAAAGAAATGTCAAAGTAAAATATGTCCAGACACTTTTGAGTGACAAAGAATCAGAGTAAATTGTATTTGTGTGCTGATAATGACAGCATGTAAACAAAAAAAAGGGGAAAATGGTGATCCTCACTGGATACATTATTAATAATAAATTAGTCTCTCAGTTACAGTTTGCAGCAAGATGAACATTAGCTACAGTATGCCCCTAAAGGCCCAGTTTAACTAAAAGCTAATTTCTAAACATATTTCATGATTTCTGACTGGCAAGAAGTGCTTACCACTTTCTAACATTGTTAGACTGCCATTCTTAAGTAAAATGGGTGTGGCTCTTTTCATTTAAGTAATTTTTGTTTTAGAGGGGTCTGATTTTCTACTTTGTAGAGTAATTTGAACATTAGCACAACTCTCTGGAAGTGAACAGAGTCACAGTATTGTGAAAGCATGACAGAGAAAAGAATCCACACAGCTTAAGAATAAAAAAAAAAAGAATGCAGAGCATTACTGCCTCTCACTTTCCCCCCACTACTATCTATCTCTAAAGACAGTATACAGAGTTGGATAATATATGACTCTGGATTCTGCAAAAAGCTTATTTCCAGGGCCAGCTTGAGCTTCTTTATGTTTTTATGTTGTATAATATGAAAATTACTTAGCAATAATTTAGAGAAAGTATGTTAGGCAACGTTGAAAAATTCACAAGCATTAGGGTTCTTAAAAATCTTTGCATCATGTTTTCTTTATCTTTCTATTTCCAGGGTAATTGATTATACAGGAATCATAGAATCATAGAATGGTTTGGGTTGGAAGGGACTTTAAAGATCGCCTAGTTCCAACGCCCACTCCAACATCTTCCACTTAGACCAGGTTGCTCAAAGCCCCATCCAACCTGGCCTTGAACACTGTCAGGGATGGGGTATCCACAACTTCTCTGGGCAACCTGTTCCACTGCCTCACCACCTCATAGTGAAGAATATCTTCCTTGTATCTAATCTAAATCTACCCTCTTTCAGTTTAAAGCCATTACCTCTTCTCCTATCACTACATGCCCTTGCAAAAAGCCCCTCTCTGGCTCTCTTGCAGACCCCTTTCAGGTACTGAAAGGCTGTTATAAGGTCTCCTTTCTCCAGGCTAAACAACCCCAACTCTCTCAGCCTGTCTTCATAGGAGAGTTGTTCCAGCCCTTTGATCATCTTTGTGGCCCTCCTCTGGACTCACTCCAACAGGTCCGTGTCCTTACATTGGGGTCCCAGAGCTGAATGAATGGTTGACTTTCCGGGCTGCAAGTGTACACTGCCAGGTGACACTGAGCTTCTCATCAACCAGCACACTCAAGTCCTTATCCTCAGGGCTGCCCTCAATCTGTTCTCTGCCCAGCCTGTATTTGTGCTTGGGATTGCCCCAACCCATCTGCAGGACCTTGCACTTGGCCTTGTTGAACTTCATGAGGTTCTCATGGACCCACCTCTCAAGCCTGTCAAGGTGTCTCTGGAAGGCCTCCCTTTCCTCCAGCATGTCAACCGCACCACACAGTTTAGTGTTATCATCAAACTTGCTGAGGGTGCACTCAATCCCGCTGTCCACGCTGACAACAAAGATAGCAAACAGCCCTGGTCCTACAATGGATCCCTGAAGAACACCACTCATCGCTGGTCTCCACTTGGACATCAAGCCATTGACTCTTTGAGTGTGAACATCCAGCAAATTCCTTATCCACCAAGTGGTCCATCTCTCAAATCCATGTCTTTCCAATTTGGAGACAAGAACGTTGTACAGGACAGTGTCAAATTCTTTGCACAAGTCCAGGCAGATGATGCCAGTTGCTCTTCCCTTATCCACCAAATCTGTAACCCTGTCGTGGAAGACCACTAAATTTGTCAGACATGATTTGCCCTTAGTGAAGCCATGTTGGCTGTCACCAATCACCTCCTTATTTTTCATTTGCCTTAGCATAGTCTCCAGGAGGATCTGCTCCATGATCGTACCAGGCATAGGGGTAAGACTGACTGGTCTGTAGTTCTCCTGGTCTCCCTTTTTTCTCTTTTTAAAAATGGGGGTTATGTTCCTCCCTTTTGTAGTCATTGGGAACTTCACCAGCCTGCCATGACTTCTCAAATATGATGGATAGTGGCTTAGAAACTTCATCCACCGGTTCCCTCAGGACCTACAGATGCGTCTTATCAGGACTTGTGCAACTTTAGGTTCCTTAGCTGGTCTTGAACTTGACCTTATCCTGCAGTGGGCGATCCTTTGTTCTCCCAGCCTCTGTCTTTGCCTTCTGCTACTTGGGTCGTGTGGCCTGAGCACTTTCCAGTGAAGACTGAGGCAAAAAAGTCATTGAGTACCTCAGCCTTCTCCATATTCTGGGTAACCAAGTCTCCTGTTTCCTTTCAGAGAGGGTCCACATTTTCCCTTGTCTTCCTTTTAGCACTGACATACTTATAGATGCTTTTCATAGAGTCATAGAATCATAGAATTGTTTAGTTTGGAAAAGACCTTTAAGATCATCAAGTCCAAATGTCAACCTAACCCTGACATCCCACCACTAAACCTTGTCCCTAAGCACCTCGTCTACCCATCTTTTAAATACCTGCAGGGATGAGGACTTGACCACTTCCCTGGGCAGCCCATTCCAATGCTTGACAACCCTGTTGGTGAAAAAATTTTTCCTAATGTCCAACCTAAACCTCCCCTGGCACAACCTGAGGCCATTTCCTCTCATCCTATTGCCCATTACCTGGGACAAGAGACCAACACCCACCTTACTACCACCTCCTTTCAGGCAGTTGTAGAGGGCAATCAGGTCTCCCCTCAGCCACCTTTTCTCCAGACTGTGGAAACAATCCCTGTTTCCTCAGCCACTCCTCATCAGACTTGTGCTCCAGACCCCTCGCCAGCTTGGTTGTTCTCCTCTGGACTTGTTCCAGCAACGCAACGTCTTTCCTGTAGTGAGGGGCCCAAAACTGAACACAGTATTCGAGGTGCAGCCTCACCAGTGCAGAGTAGAGGTGCACGATCACTTCCCTACTCCTGCTGGCCACACTTTTCCTGATACAGGCCAGGATGCTGTTGGCCTTCTTGGCCACCTGGGCACACTGTTTGCTCATATTCAGCTGGCTGTCAACCAGTAACCCCAGGTCCTTTTCTGCTGGGCAGCTTTCCAGCCACTCTTCCCCAAGCCTGTATTGTTGCATGGGGTTGTTGTGACCCAAGTGCAGGAACTGGGTAAGTTGTGACCCAACCAGGAACTGTTTTCTTGTTGCCCTTGATGTTCCTGGCCAGATTTGATTCTATGAGGGCTTTAGCTTTCCTAACCTGATCCCTGGCTGCTCAGATAATTTCTCTGTATTCCTACCACGCTACCTGTCCTTGCTTTCACCCTCAGAAGCCTTCCTTTTTGTGTTTGAGTTTGTCCAGGAGTTCCTTTTCATCCATGCAGGCCTCCTGGCATTTTTACCTGAGTTCCTGTTTGTTGGAATGCATCGCTCCTGAGCTTGGAGGAGGTGATCCTTGAGCATTAACCAGATTTCTTGGGCCTCTCTTTTCTCCCCAGTTTATCCCATGGTACTCTACCAAGCATATCCCTGAAGACGCCAAAGTCTGCTCTCCTGAAGTCCATGGTAGTGAGCTTGCTGTGTACCCTCCTCAGTGCCCTAAGGATCTTGAACTGCACTGTTTCATGGTCACTGCAGACAAAGCTGCCCTTAAGTTTCACATTCTCCACCAGCCCCTCCTTGTTGGTGAGAAGAAGGTCCAGAATAGCACCTCTCCTCGTTGGCTCCTTTATCAGTTGGACAAAGATATCACCAGTGCATCCCAGGAACCTCCCAGGTTGCTTATGCCCTGCTTTATTGACCCTCCAACAGATATTGGGGTGGTTATAGTCCCCCATGAGGATCAGGACTTGTGGATGTGAGCTGCTCCCATCTGTCTACAGAGTCTCATACACTTGGTCTTCCTGGTCAGGTGGCCTGTAGCAGACCCCCACTATAATATCACCTGTCCCTGCCCTCCTTTTAGTCCTGACCCATAAGCTCTCAGTCAGTTCCTCATCCATCCCCAGATGGAGCTCCATGCAGTCCAGCTGGTCATTGACATAGAGGGCAACACCCCCTCCTCATCTTCCCTGCCTGTTCTTCCCAAAGAGCCTATATTCTTCCATTCCCACACTATGGCCATAGGAGACATCCCACCACTTCTCCATGATGCCAGTAAGATCATAGCCCTGCAAACATGCACGCATCCCTAACTCCTCTTGTTTATTCCCCACGCTACATGTGTTTGCATAGAGGCATTTAAATTGAGCTACTGATGAAGCTGATGTACTGGCTGGAGTGGCTGGAATTCCTTTGTGCTATTCTTCAAGTCATCTCCTGATGACTTGGGATCCTTCTCCAGGCTCTGGGCATCCATTGCTGGCACTGACATCAAACTGGATTGAGATTCCCCTCCCCTGGCAACTTTAGTTTAAAGCCCTCTTCACCAGCTTGGCAAGCCTATGATAAAAGATGCTTTTCCCCTTCTCTGACAGATGGACCTCATCAGCCCCTAGTAGACCAGGTTTCTCAAAGCTAGTACCATCGTCTAAGTAGTCAACCCCCTGGCTGTGACACCATTCACCAGATTTGACTGACCCTTTCAAACACTTTCCCTTTGGGAGGACTGATGAAAAATCTACCTGTGCTCCACACTCCCTTACTGCCACTCCCAGGGTTCTGTAATTCTTCCTGATAGTCCTCAGACCGCTCCTGGCTGTATCACCTGTGCCCACATGAAATAACAGCAGCAGGTAATAGTCAGTGGAATGTATGAGGCTTGGTAGTCTCTCTGTGATATCCCTGACATGAGCCCCCTAGTAAGTGGCACACATCTCTAGAGTATGTCAAGTCAGCAAATGGGTGCCTCTGTACCTCTCAGAACAGAGTCACCTACTTATCAACTGTTGCCTTTTCTTAGTTGCGCTCGTTGTTATACAAGGAGCAGATCAGGCTGCCTTACTGAGCTCCAGCTTCTCTCCTGGTGTGATGGGTCTTTCCTCTTCAATGTGCAGAGCAGTGAAGTGGTTCTGCAAGGGAACATCAGGCTTCAGGGGGAGTTTCTTCCTCCTGCTGGTCCTTGCCATTGCAACCGTCCATTATTCTGCATTACTGGTGCCTCTCCCTTCTGTGTGTGCCAGTTTGGGAGTTTTTGGCTGTTTGGCCATGGGCTGTGGGTCCACTGCAGGGTGTGCTTGGAACCAGCTATCTAACTTTTTCTCAGCCCCCCTGGTGTTATGCAGCCTTCTTACCATCTCCTGGAACTTAGCTGCCTGATGCAGGAGGTCCTCCACCTGGGCACACCTTTTGCAAGCAGGTCTGTGGCCTCTCCCTGCCCCAGGAGAAAGGTCTGGGTGCTTCCTGCAGTCTCAGGTCTGCACTGCAGCCTCTACCTTCACCACCTCCATCTGGATGGAGGCATCGGCCGCCACTAGGGTAGATGGTGCAGACCCCCCAGCCAGAGCTGCAGCCTTTGCTCTCAAATGAGTGCCCACCATTCTGCCTTGAGGGGCAGGTAGGATGAGTGCCCTTGAGCTGTGCCTAGTTGCTGGTTTATGCGTACTTCAAGTCTCCCACTCAGCCAGTGGGATGCCCCTCCTTCAAAGAGGCACCCTCCATGCACACCCTCCCATGCAAATTGCCACCTGACCTGCCACACCATGCCCTGTTTGCCCACCCTGTTGGTGTCACTCCTGGTCACAGTGCTGCTTGGGGCTGTGTTTTTGGGGATTGGCTGCCACTACCCCTGGTCCTGCACGTGCCTTGTCAGCTGCTCTTATGAGAGCTGCTGGCTCCTGCAGAGTCTCTGTGCTCCCCTAAGGTTTCCCTGGCTCATTAAACCCCCCTGTATGCTGCAATCCCCTGCTCCGCTGCAGAACATGCCTGCACCGGAGCTGATCAGGCAAATGATGTTTGCAAACAACCACTGAAAGCAAATTCCTCTCCTACATTCCCATCATTAAAAATTCTGCAAGGTACCCTGGGCTATTTGACATATTCAC